GGGCTGCTTGGGGGGGGGAGGGGGCGGGCGAGGGAGGGCGAGGTGGCGGAGGGGGGGAGGGGGGAATAGAGAAGGGGGAGGAGAGGGGGGAGATGGAGGAGGGAGGGGGGAGAGAGAGGGGATGAGATAGGGGAGGGAATTCCCTCCCCTATCTCGTCTAGCGGCTCTTCCGCTCGTCTAGCGGTTCTTCCGCTCGTCCAGCAGTCCATGGCCTCATCATTCATTTTGAAGAGAGAGGGGGAGGGGGGAGGGGTGGAGATGAGGGGAAGGAAGGGTGAAGATAGAGGGGATGAGGCAAGCTAGGTGCGCGCTCGTCTTATCTGACGTCCTCCCACTCCCTCCCACCCCTTGCCATGGCGCAGACATCCACCTCATGCGCACAATCGTGCGCGGCCCCTGGCATGCACCCATTTGCGGAGCCCTTCTTGGAGCCACCTCGGGCGGCCTCAGTTGCCATCTCGGGCCATTTCTGGTTTTCGCGGGGGCCTCCGCGCCCCGCGATGTTGTGCCATTTGGCAGAAGGCGGGTTCTGTTCGCTCGCGTCTTGGTTGTCCACTGCACCTCCAACCTTTCCCACCCCTCCCGCCCGTAGCCATGTCTGTTTATAGCGGGGGTGGGGTCGGGGCCACGTTTGTGCACTTCGCGGGCCCCGACACTACGGCCTTTTGGAGTTGGGCGATGTCGCTGCCGTGGCCATCCGATGGCAACGGGGCCTTGCACTGGGATTCGTGGGCCGCTGAGGGCTTTTGGCGGCCGCCGCTGCCGAGACCTATAGGGCTCGCGTCCAGCAGATTGGCTTCGTCTGCTTCGGCACCATCGGCTTGCCTGCCGACCGCTGCGGTGAAGCCGCCGCTGCCGAGACCTAAGGGGCTCGCGTCCAGCAGAGTGGCTTCACCTGCTTCGTCATCGTCGGCTTGCCTACCGACCGCTGCGGGGACGCCGCCGCTGCCGAAACCTAAGGGGCACGAGCTGACGTCCAGCGTTTGGGCTTCACCTGCTTCGTCATCCTCGGCTTGCCTGCCGACCACTGCGGGGCCGCCGATGGCGTCTGAGCCCGCGTCCAGCGTTTGGGCTTCGTCGACGGCGTCGTCGCCCTCGGCTTGCCTGCCGAGCCCTGAGGGGCCGCCGACGGCGAGTGCGCCCGCGTCGAGCGCTCGGGCTTCGTCGACGGCTGCGCCATCCTCGGCATCCCCTGCGAGCCCGACGCCGCTGGCGATGGCGTCCGCGTCCCGCGGGGAACCTGCATTCTTGGTCAGGGGCCCGTTCGAGGCGAACGGCGCGCCCGAGGAGACGGACGCGGCGCAGGGCGCGCCCGAGGAGCAGCCCGAGGAGACGGAAGTGGCGCAGGGCAGCCCCGAGGAGACGGAAGTGGTGCAGGGCGCTTCGGGCGCCGAGGTCATTAGTGGCAACCGCCGCGTTGGGAGCGGCAAGAAGAGGGCGTCTGGCCGCTGCGGCGATCGCGGCGGCAAGAGGAACCCCAACGTGATCTGGCACTCGATGAAGGCCGCCGCCGAGAAGGAGGGCTGGCTCCCCGAGTTTCGGCGGTGGTACCCGAAGCCGCCCGCCCAGTCTTCTGCGGGGCGCGCCACTGCATGAAGGGCGGGGGCTGGGAGGTGGGAGGGGGGGATTGGGAGGTGGGGGGAGGGGATTGGGAGGTGGGATTGGGAGGCGGGAGGCGCGGGAGAAAGGGGGGAGAGGTTGAGTGCGAGGTGGAGGCGCGAGAGAGAGAGAGAGAGAGAGAGAGAGAGAGAGAGAGAGAGAGGAGAGAGAGAGAGAGAGAGAGAGAGAGAGAGAGAGAGAGGCAGACAGACAGACAGACAGACAGAGAGAGAGAGAGAGAGAGAGATCGTGACAGAGAGAGAGAGGAGAGAGAGAGAGAGAGAGAGAGAGAGAGAGAGAGAAGAGAGAGAGAGAGAGAGAGAGAGAGAGAGCGATAGAGCGAGAGAGAGAGAGAGAGAGGAGAGAGAGAGAGAGAGAGAGAGAGAGAGAGAGAGAGAGAGAGAGAGAGAGGGAGAGGTGACAAGAACAGAAGGAACTTAGCGACAGCAAGTGAGGGCCGATAGAGGTGGATGGGGAACAGAAGAAAGCGAGGAGAAGGATGAAGCAGCATGCAGGCTCGGTAGGCGTTGCAATCATTCACGCTGCGCGAACCCCCCAACACACCCCATATGACCCACCCAACAGCCCCCTCTGCAGGCCTTAAGAGGACACCCCAAAAGGATCCTTCAACAGCCACAATAGCACCCGATGGAACCTACGCAGGCCACGAATATGCCCACATCTCCTCCTCCTCCTCCTCCTCCTCGAATCCTCATCCTCCATCCTCATCGCCCTCCTCCTCATCTCCGCCTCCTCTCCTCATCGCCTTCCTCCTCCCATCCTTCTCCTCCTCCCCCTCATCCTCCTCCACCTTCTCCCTATCCCTCCTCCTCCTCCTCCGCCTTCTCCCTCCCCCTCCTCCTCCGCCCCCTCCTCGCCCTCCTCCTCCTCCTCCTCCTCCTTCACAAGCCAAAAGCCCGACGGGCTGGTGGAATTTGCGCATGCCCTGCGCACCCGCGCACTGCGCTGCGCGTCTCCGTCGCCATCGCTGTCGCCGTGCCGCCGTCATCGCTTGAATCGTCGTCCCCCAGCATGCCAAGAAACTGTTAATCTCTCTGGGGCATTCGTTTTAGGGCATCTTTGGGATTAGGTACGGGGGAGGAGGAGGACAGCTACAGGAGCGCGCTGGCGCCTCCGCCGCCCCTCCCCGCAGTGCGGGGTGCCCGCCAGGACGGGCGCTGCTTGGCGTGCGCGCGTCTTTTTTGCACCTGGGGGCGCGCGCACTATGCGTCTTGTACTAGCGCCCAAGTAGCCCTTTTTTGAGGGGCTGGCGGTTCGGAGGAGGAGGAATTTATTATCATCTTCTCGTGGCCGATCCCAAAGCATGCACAGAAGGTTTACGATTTAGCTGGCGAAGTCGACGATGGAGGGCGGATGCTTTTCAAAACTGCTCACGCTTTGCGTTCGCTTCCTGGGTCAGTTCGTCAACGCCCCCACGACCCCCTCCCCCTGCCCCCGTTGTCGACCGCGTTCGGGAGCTCGTATCGGGCCTTGCGTCAAAATCAGACCTACAGCTCCCCTAAGTGGCGTGGCGGCCTTTGTGTCCTGCCTCTCCCCCAGCACCTCCTCCTCCTCTGCCTGTGCGTCCTCCCAAGTGCCGCCCCTCCTCCCCCGTCCTCCTTCTTCTCCGCCTCCTTCTCCTCCTCCTCCTGCCCCTCCTTCTCCTCCTCCTTCTCCTCCTCCTCCTCCTCCTCTTCCTCCGCGTCCTCCTCCCCCTCTTTCTCCTCGCTCGCCATTTCATTATCATCCAGCGGGTTTTCCGCTTTTTCATTTTCATCCAGCGGGCTTCCCGCTCTTTCATCGGCGTATACTGCCGCCGTTTAAGCTTGAGCCAAGGTTAACCAGCGGCGCATCCGCTTTGCGTCTTTCAACCGCTCACCTCTCACCTTTTCACTTCCCACCTCTCACCTTTCAACCTCTCACCTCTGATGCCCGTGGCCCTGGCGCCTCTCCCGCGTCTCTACGCGGGCGCGCCGATCGGCGCGACCGCCGCGATTCTGGCCACGCAGCTCATGGCCAAGAAGCGCGAGGAGGCGAATACGCCCAGCCCGACGCCCAGCCCGACGACGGCGCGCTCGACGGGCCAGCCGAAGACGCCGAGCTCGACGGACCAGCCGAAGACGGACCAGCCGAAGACGGCGCGCTCGACGGACCAGCCGAAGACGAACAGCTCGACGGACCAGCCGAAGACGGTGCGCTCGACGGACCAGCCGACGACGGTGCGCTCGACGGACCAGCCGAAGACGGCCCGCTCGACGGACCAGCCGAGGCCGGACGGCTCGACGGACCAGCCGACGATCGTTCTTCCCGACGGGGTTTTCATCGGCCCGCCAGAGCCGTGCATCTGGGTCCTCAAGACGGGTTCGCAGCTCCAGGTCGACGAGGTTGGCGTCGTGCACTCTGTTGGCGGTGACAAGTTTTCAGCGGTGTTGGGCAGGGGTTTTGAGCTCAGCAGGTACCACTTGCGTAAGACTGACTTCTGGGGTTCGTACAGCTTCTAGGCCAGTGGACGTCGCCCGCCCCTGTTGTGCGACGGCGTAAGAGCTCCGTGGACAGCACGGCCCTCGGATTTAATCAACATCATTTGCGCCACTGCCATTTTCGCACTTGTCGTATCCGTCACCTTCATTACCATCACCTACATTTCCTCGCTTGTTGCCATCGCGACAGGTGGTGGTCAGCCTTCCAATCAACAACATCATGCACATCATGACCACAGCCACCAAATTAGAAGGGGGGCACCCAACTGTCATCACCACAATCGACATCAGCACCATCACAACCAGTACGACCACCAGCGTTGCCATGATCCTGAATCACAGCGCCATCACCAGCAGTGTCACTGCAGCGGCCGCACCCTCCCCCCTCCCCCCATCGCGTTTGTCCCATCTCGCGGGGTGGGCGGGGCCCCGTGGACAGTTTGGCCCCCTTGGCGTTCGAGGGCCCCTCCCCGTGCGCAGAACGCGCGGTGGGGGCCGCACGCACGCGCGCACGCACACACACACACACACACGCACACACACACACACACACACACACACACACACACACACACACACACACACACACACACACACACACACACACGCACGCACGCACGCACGCACGCACGCACGCACGCACACACACACACACCATGTTGAGGAAGAGGGGGGTCGTATTCATGTTACGTGGTTGTCGATGGGGCGCGCGCCCCCCGCCCCCTCCCCCCACCCCTCCCCCCGCCCCCCTCCTCCATCATTCGGGCCCCTCAGCGGCTTACCCGCTTCGCCCTGCCATTCCCAAGCCCTGCCGTTTTTGGCTAACCCCAGCGGCTTCTCCGCTTCAACCGTTCCACCTCAGCCGTTTTTTTGGCTCAGCTGGTTAACTCAGCTCAGCGGCTACTCCGCTTTCTGCGCGCCATGTCAGACGCGCCGACGTTGCGGATACGGCTTGGCGCAGTCAGGTCTGCATTGGCAGACCTCAGCGGGGCGCGGCACGAGCAGCTATCCAAGGCCCAGGCCAACGCCGTGGTCTACATGCTGCAGCGCGCGCAGCTCAACCCAGATGAGAAAGCAACCCTGGCTCTGATGTCCAGCCAGGTGAACTGGTTCGACGGCCACGACGCCCAGGTCATGTCCCTGCTCGTGGCATCACCTGCGCCGCGCCAGAGCACCACTGGCAACATTGGCCAGAAGTACACGAGCTTCGTGGAATTTTTCACGGAGGCCGAATGGAAGAAGATGCTAGAGGAGAATCCGTCTTCGTCGGCGATCCTGTCTCTCATCATTTCGCGTGTGATCCGCCTCGGGGGGCGCAACGTGTGCGAATACTCGAACAAGCTAATGACTTCGCTCTGGCTTATGCTTTGCGACCCTTCTGTGGACTCGATGTCGTTCTTTCAGAAGAAAAAGCAGTTCCTCTACGTCAAGAGAGAATGCAGGCGCATTGCAGACACGACGCCGAGGCTGATGATGGATCAGCGTATCGACACACTGCCTCCTCTGCCAGACGAGTTCGCCACGCTCTACCCTGCCGCGTACAACAAAGCGTTCAGCACCAGGCCTGGCGACGGGCCCATGAGGTGCCCGCTCAACATGCAGAGGCTGCTCGAGATCGACAACTCCTACAGGTGCCGCGGCTCGGGGCCTGAGCTGGACTTCCAGCGCGGCGCCCAGTCTAGCGCGACATCCCTGGCGCTTGCCCCCATCGAGCCGCAGTCGGACATCAGACAGATGCTGCTCCAGTCGCAGCAGCAGATGCAGCAGATGCAGGCCTTTGCCATCAACGCGATGCAGCTCGTGGCGGGCAATCGCGGTGGCGCTGCGGCCCCAGGCAGCGGCGGTGCTGGGAACGGCCTCCTCGAGAACCTGGAAGTGTTCTCCCAGGGCGCGCGTGCTGGTGGACGCCCGAGCTCGAATCGGTTACAGCTGTTGACGCCAGACCACCACCGCCAGCAGAGCGCTCCGTCGCCACGCCAGCAGCGCGGCGACCTTGCGCCGCCGCTGGACCAGGCCGATGGGCACCATGAAAGTAGCATGGCGCCTCTGCCCCAGCCAGAGTCGGCGCCCGACCATGGCGCCATCCAAGTCACGCCCCAGCGCCATCGAGACCAGCCAGCCGCACCTGGTGATCAGCCCGTCGCCCCCCCCCAAGGGTCTCCCTCAAGGACTCCGTGCATAACGCGATGAAGATGATGGAGGAGAAGAGGCTCGCCGCCAAGGGCAGGAAGCGCGCTTTCAGCGTTTCTAAGAAGCCAGCTTGCGCCGCCATCTGCGACGCCGCCGAGGACGAGGGCGAGGATGACGCCGCCGAGGACGAGGGCGACGATGCATCAGATGAGGACGATGTAGTGACGACGCCGCCGCCCATGAAGTCGGTGATGAAGGCCGCTCGCAAGGCCACTCCGCCGCCCATGAAGTCGGCGATGAAGGCCGCTACCAAGGGCGGCAGCGGGAAGACGAAAGGGATTGACTATTCCGACCTGTTGTCCATCACCAAGTCCACGATGAAGAAGACCACCCGCGGTGCCTTCACGTCGAAAGCTTGCGACAACACGAAGGAGCGGGCATCCGTCGCTGGCATGTCGCCAGCCAAGGTTCTGGTGATTGCCAGGGAGGCGTACGCTGCCGCCGCGTCCAAGTGGGACGAGCTCAAAGTTTGCTAGTACATGCAGGTACAGTCTTGGTGGGCAGGGAGGTTGCATGCGCAGATCACTGTAGGATTCTATCTCCCAGCTTCGCTGCGCCTTGCCCTCGTCGGGGCGAGGGCGGGTTCGGCAAGTGTCGGGCGCCAACCACCGACTCACGCTGCAGCTTGCGGATGCTTGCGTGCGGCTGTTCAATTACACTACGAGTGTAGCTTGTGCGCGCGTTTTGCTCGGTAAACATTCATCCGTCTGCGCAGAGGCATTACACCCTGCACAAATGAGAGCCCACGTCAGGTGCGACGCGCGCAGCGCACCCGCACGATTCATGCACCATGGTTGTGTTACCAACACATTATCAACAGCATGTGATAACGAGTGGCACACCATGATAACATGTTATCACAATGTCTGATAACACACGCATACATGCGTGATAACGCACCTGATAACATGTTATCAGGACACGTATTGACGTTATCACTCGATACATGGTGTTATCACGCATATCGTGATAATGCGTTATCACGACCGTGATAACGCATGTGTAGAAACCTGATAACGTGTTATCAGGCCGTTGTCAGGGTCTAGCGCAACGTCTGAAAACGCAATGCAAACCACCATCATCCTCCTCCTTACATGACACCCCTTCATTCTGTCACCTCACCTCCTCCACCGTCCTGCCTCCCCCGCCTCCTCCCTCCTCTTCCTCGTCCTGCCCCCATCGTCATCACTCCCCCCAATCCTCCTCATCCTCCTCTTCCTCGTCATCCTCCTCCTCTCTTCGTCCTCCCCCTCCTCCTCCTCCTCCTCCTCCTCCTCCTCTTTCATCTCATCCTCCTTGTCCCCGACGCCTCCAGCGCTTATCAAGCGGCTCTTCCGCTCACCACTTGGCAGGCCTTGATCTGGCGCGCTGCCAGTATCAAGCGGCTCTTCCGCTCACCACTTGGCAGGCCTTGATCTGGCGCGCTGCCAGGGATTTCGGGCCTCGAGAGGCGCCCCCCCCACCCCCGCCCCGTGGCAGTCCTCCTCCTCCTCCTCCTCCTCCTCGGGGTGCCCACAGCATACCCGCAGCGCATTTGATTTTGTTGAGGGTGCTCCTCCTCCTCCTCCTTCTCCTCCTCCTCCTTCTCCTCCTCCTCCCCTCCTCCTTCTCCTCCTCCTCCCCCTCCTCGGGCTGCCCGCAGCGCACCCGCGACAAATTTGATTTTGTTGCTGCACGAAGCGTTCCGTGTTTCTCCCCCTGTGGCCCCACGGTCGCCACCAAATTTTGTGTTGATCCTTTGGTGACCAGTGTGCTCTCTGGCCACGGGGATCGACTGCAATTCATCGGTCCCCAGGTGGCGCCTCTAGGCTGCGTGCCATATCGGGGGTTGCCCCTAATGAGGCAGCGCGGCCCCGCCCGAGCGCAGAGGCCGTAGAGAGGAAGGCGGCCCGAAGGGCACGCCACCCAGTGTTCTTTCGCGAGGCCAGGTTTCAATCCAGTTGGGCCCCAAAATCCCGCAACCGACCGAACTCCAGGAGTCCAGTCCAGTCCAGTCCTCCGCCTCCTCCCCCTCCTCCTCCTCCTCTCCCCCCTCCTCCTCCCCCCCCTTCTCCTTCTCTCCCCCCCCCTCCCCCTCCCCCCCCTTCCCCGCCCTCGCCCCCCGACCCCGCCAGCCTCGGCGCCGCGCGGGAACCCTGCCAGCCGCAGACTGCTCTCAGAGGTGGAGGGCGGCGGGAAGGGGAGGGGGGGTGGGAGGGCGGGGGGGAGGGGGGGGGAGGGGGCGGAGGGGGAGGGGGAGGCGGATAGGCGGGCAAGCAGGAGGTCGGCCTTCCACGGGCAGAGGAGGAAGTGAGGGAGGCGGAGAATGAGACGGAGGAAGGAGCTCAAGAGGGCTCAAGAGGCCTCAAGAGGGCCCCAAGAAGGCCTGAGGACCCTCAGGCCCTCAAGAGGGCTCAAGAGGCCTCAAGAGCGATCTAAGAGTGCCCCAACAGGGCCCTAATCAAGTTGCGAAAGCTAGCTTGGACCAAAATAGTTTTCACCACTTATTTCGAACGCCGTGTTGGGCTCCAAGAGGGCCCTCAGATGGCCCTCAAGAGGGCTCAAGAGGCCTCGCGAGGGCTCTAAGAGGGCCCTAAGGGCCCCCAAAAAGTGGTGAAAGCTTTCTTGGACCAAGATAGCTATCACCACTTATGTCGGCCGCCGTTTTGGGCTCCAAGAGGGCCCTCAGATGGCCCTCAAGAGGGCTCAAGAGGCCGCGGGAGGGGGCCTTCTCTTCCCCCCGCGCACCCTCCGCGGACCAGCTGCATTTCCGCAACTGTGTTTGGTTGTCATAAGCCATTTTGGCTTAAGCGCTTCGACGCTCAGCGGCATATCCGCTAGAACGACCGAGTTCACGATGGCTCACAATGAGCCTGAAGTCCCGCGCCCCCTCGATGGACAGCTCGGAGTGTCCCTAGTCGGCGACTCGGCAGAGGGCAGCGAGCGCGACGCGCTCGACGGGGCCGACGGCGTCAGCCGCGCGGCCGAGGACGGCCGCGGGGCAGCTGAGTTCGGCAGCGAGGGTCGCAGCGGCATGGCGCTCAGCGAAGCCCCCGAGAGCATTCCAGCGGCCGGCGTCGAGGAGATGTGCGCCATCTGCCGCTGCGAGCTGCGCGAGGACCCCGATGGCAACGACACCCAGGACGTGCGGATCGAGATCTTGCAGTGCCTTCACAGGTTCCACACGGTCTGCATCGAAGAGGTTGTGAGGGTGTGCAGCACGCCCCTGTCATGTCTGCAGTGCCCGACTTGCAGGATGAGCCCGCAGGACCTCCAGCGGCAGGAGGATGAGATGATGGCGCGCCAGGCGACGTCGCGCTTGGCGAGGAGGAGGGGGAGGCAGAGGAGGAGGAGAAGGAGGAGGAGGAGGGGGGGGGAGGAGGAGGAGAAGGAGGAGGAGAATGAAGATCGAGGAGGAGGAGGGGGAGGAGGAGAAGGAGGAGGAGGACGTCAGGGAGGGAGAAAGGGGAAAGGAGGAGCGCAACTGAAGCACACAGGGCGCCCAGTGTTATTTTTTTTTAGGGGGGGGGGTCTGCGCGGGTCGGGTGTGGCGACGGCAAGGGTCGTCTTTAAAACTAAGAGAGAGGAGAGAGAGAGGAGAGAGAGAGAGAGAGAGGAGAGAGAGAGAGAGAGAGAGAGAGAGAGAGACGAGAGAGAGAAGAGAGCGCAGAGCGATGGAGAGAGAGAGAGAGAGAAGACAAGAGAGAGAGAGAGAGGAGAGAGAGGAGAGCGTGAGAGAGAGAGATGAGAGAGAGAAGGAGAGAGAGAGTGAGGAGAGAAGAAGAGGAGAGAGAGAGAGAGAGAGAGAGAGATGAGAGAGAGAGAGAGAGAGAGAGAGAGAGAGAGAGAGAGAGAGAGAGAGAGAGAGAGAGAGATGGCCCTCCCCCCTCCGCCCGCTGCAAGGCGAGCGGCGCTCCGCCAACGGAGGTCGTGGAGGTCGGCAGCGACGATCCCGAGGTGCAGCCGCCGCCGCAGCCCGTGGTCCCGCGGCCGTCGCGCCCGCCGCTCCGTCGGGCCAGGACCATGAGCGAGTTCTTCGCTTCCTTGCCGTCGCCCGATTTCGACGCCGCGGGCCCCGCCGACGACGCTGCCGCCCCGCCCCCGACGCCTGCGACCCCGCCGACGCCTGCAACCATCGCCCTGCCAGGGGCTCCGCCAGCAGTCTTCGGCGACGCCCCTGCCCCTGCGCCGCCGCCAGCGCCTTCGACGCCAGCACCTTCGACGCCAGCGCCTTCAAGCCTCGGGCGCACGCCGAAGTACGGCATGTTCCCAGCGAAGCCGAAGCCTTCGATGGCCCCGCGCCTTGCTCGCAAATGGCATGGCATCGCCTCTCTTTGTCACCGCGCCTCTTCACGGGCCCCACTCTTTCGAGAGAGCTGAGGTCCGAGAAGAGGCGCGGTGACAAAGAGAGGCGCCCCTCGTCACTTTGCCTTGCCATTCGCGCGCGGGGCGCCCCAAGGCGCCCGTGGCCACGAGTCGGCCGACGTTCATTGACGACCTCCGCATGCACTGCTCGGACTGCGGCTGCGAGGTCCAGTTGGACGACAAGGTCAGGCTGCGCAACAAGGGGCGGGGCAATTTCAGATGCCCGCGCTGCGCGTGCAAGATCACACAGCTCAGCAGGGAGCTGGGGGAGTGGCCGACAGCAGAATTCTCCGCCCTCGACGACGAGGCCAAGAAGCAGTTTTACAACGGCGTGCGGGACATCACCACCGCCAAGGACGTCGTCGCCCACTTCCGCGAGTACATGAAGGGGTTCGAAGAGCACACCGAGTGGTATGCGGAAGGCGGCGAGTTCTTGCCGCTGAGCGTGTGGGCGACCCGCGGGTTCGACACGGATACCATCAAGGACATGTCTCATCCGTGGGACATCCGCCCCGACCGCATGTTCACGAACACTTACCGCGTCCCGATCTACTCGGCGGGCACGGCAGGAAAGAAGGGCAAGCGCCGCGATGACGTGGCGGAGAGGGGCGGCAAGCGGGCTAAAGTTGCTGGCGCCGAATCCGACAAGTCGGAGAGTTCCTCCGACAGCAGTTCCTCCGATAGCAGGCGCCACAAGAAGAAGAGGAAGAGCCGCACGGACAAGAAGAGCAAAAAAGAGAAGGACTCAAGAAAGGCAAAGAAGGAGAAGGAGCGCGAGAAGCAGGCCAAACTCCTGGAGGCCGCCGCCAAGAAGCAAGCCGCGAAGGCCATGAAAGGTGCTGAGTCTGTGAGGGACAAGGTCCAGGAGATGCGCGACTCTTTGGTAACCATCGTCGGCAACCCCAACTTCGCTGGGATGCCGCCGAACGTTCGCACCACCGTCGAGGAGGACAACATCAAGGTCCAGGACATCTACAATGACGTCGAGGCGATCATCCGCGGCGACAACGATCGCACCATCCGCCACTGCCCCGACGTCAAGGCGATCAAGAGCTACCTGGCCGACGTGAAGCGCAAGCTGGAGACGGTGCGCACGTTGATCCGCCAGGCGGGCACGTTCTGAACGTGCCGT